CATTCACTGAGGCCATGCAGTGCAGACACAGAAGTCAGACTGCCGAGTTCCCTAGAAAATGGGCCCTCTGGCAAGGGATTAAGGGCTGATACATTAACTTGGAAGTGGAATTCCAGGGCAGCTAGAGGGAGGGATAAGAGAAAGGAGGTCGGGAAGAACAGGAAACAAAGCAAGGTGATGTGTAACCACTGTACAACAAACCCCATCTGGAAAATGTGCCTCAAATGGTCCAAGGGATGGAGGATGAAGGAATTTATCCTCCCGTCTCATCTGCTGTTTCCAAACTCAGTCCAGCTGCTTGCAAATCAACACCCAAGAAGCAGTTGCTTATAGAAAGTTCCTTTTAATCAGAATGCCGGCAGTCTGGGGAAATGGTGCACTCGGGTGTTCCGCCAAAACCACCTCTGAAGAGTCTGCTTGGCCATGGAAGTTTCTAAGGGGAAAAAGGGAAGTCAGCTCAGATAATCACTGATGGAGGGGGTCAGAGGTGTCATGATCACCAGCTGTGTGCAGGCTTGTCGACTTCTTGTGATCTTTCATGTTAGATGCTATCTTGTTCCCACCATTTGTTCGTGAGATTACTGAAGGGGAAGCTGGGGAAGAGATCTGGTCACCTGGTAATTACTTATTCTTCTTTTCTACTTCTTTGATCTGTGGGAAGAACCAGCAGGTTAGGCAAGGTATTGTGTGATCTAAAGATCTGAAAGGTATGCTAGGTTACTGACAACAGGGCCTCCTGCAGAGAGTTCTTTCCTGCCGAAGGTGCTTACGCTACCGCTGAAAGTTCATCCCAAGAACTAACTCCTCCACGTGTATGGCTTGACTTCTCCAGCCTCTTTGGCTATTCGGGATCCAGCCCCCTTACCCTGGCCTGTGGTCTGGGAGGGGTCAACTTCAGCTGTGGGACAAGAAGCCAGGAATCTGGTGGACAGAGGAGCTCCAGAGGTACCCAGGTATGCAATACACCCACATCCCAGTAAAGTGGGGATAACAGTACCTCCCCGAGGGTTGCTGAGAAGACTTGATACAATGCCTGTAAAGCACTTACTAGTGTCTGGCTCCCAGGAGGTGAGCTGGACTGACCATTAGTTGGTTTTGCCTGGAGGTTCTTGGGCAGAGCTTCACTGAAGGGTGCGGTGGTTGAGCTGTATCAGGCAGAACTCTCTTCTGTGGTGAGTTGGCTCAACGAAGGGAAGGCTGTATTGAACCACAAAACTGCAGGGCCCAGAGGTGCATCCAGCTTCAGCACAGTTGGACCAGGAGTGACTCTGAGTCCCAGGAGAAATGACCCAGGTTGATCCATAATATGAGCATCGAGGAAATGCTCTCCTCAACCTCCAGGGACCTGAACCAAGAGAAGATTGAATGAATCTCTAGGACAAAGGCAGGTCAGTGGTTGTTTGGGGTCAGGAGGACTGACCATAAAGGGGAATAAGGAACTTGAAATGTTCTACAACTCGATTGCAGTAGTAGTTACAAGGGTGTATGCATTTGAAAAAACTCATGAATTGGACATTTAAAATGGGTGCATGTAAAGTATACCTTAAAGTTGATGTTTTTTTTAAATGAGATCAAAGGAAAATATAGCTTTCTTAGGACCCTATGACAGAAACCCAACTCAGGATAGTTTTAGAAAAAATGAAATGCATTCATTAGCTCATATAATCAGATTAGTCCAGAGATGTGGTCAGTTTCAGGCATGGCTGGGTCCAGGGGCTTACTGATATCTGGACAGCATACTTTTTCCACCTCTTTGTTGGCTTCATCCTCAAGTGGAGAACAGGAGTGGTCACCAGAAGTTCCATCAACCTGGCAACTCCCATGAAAAGTGAATGCCTCTTTCCCCGTGGCTGCTGCAGAAATCCCAAGGCGGGCATCTCAGCGTCCAGCTGGGACACATGCCAGCCTCTAAAGCCAGGGGATGGGGCGGAGTAACCCCCAGAGGAAAACATGAAAGGGCAGAGGACCTTGGGTCAAGGAAACCAACAGATGGTCCTCAACTCTCTCCATGTACCCAGAAGGCAGTGTTATCACCCATTCCTACTTCCAGACACCTCCACTCCACAGGGGCCAGGCCCCAGACTCATTCAAGACCCAAGGCTGCTTTCCTGCCATCTCACAGGCTGTGTGTGTTAGCTAAATATAAGAGTCAAAACAGAAAGTGAGCAGTAATCTCTTCCCCACCAGCCAAGGCAAACAGAGGGCTATTCCTGACTGTGCTGGGCCGTCCATCTGCACCCCAAGGAGGCTGGTGGGGAGGGAGGCCATGAGGCTGAAGGCATCCGGACCTGTAGGATGAGCCCCAATGAGGGGGAGGATGCCTCCCTGGGCCTCAAGGGCCAGATGAGAGGAGCAAAGGGACAAGGAGGGCAGCTACTTGGTCCAGAACCACCATCCTAACAGGGTCTGGCCAAGGGCAGGAGGGCCAGAGAGGAGACTGCAGGAAAGGTCATCTTTGTAGAGATCACAAACAGAAGAGACCATGCAATGCCTGAAGACCTACACTTGTTCCTGAGCAGCACAGCCGGCGTGAAATGAACATGCTGTCCACACGGATACCTCCAGGCCAGAATACTGGACTGGGTAGCCGTTCCCTTCTCCAGGGGCTCTTCCCAACCCAGGGATCGCAACCCGGGTCTCCTGCAATGCAGGCGGATTCTTTACCAAGTGAGCTACTAGGGAAGCCAGCTTTACCCAAGCCTCAGGCTAAATGATTGTCCCTAATACAAACACCCACCAACTCCAGGAGCTCCAAGTTCTGTCTTTAGCGTGGCTACTTGAGGCTTCCAGTTGAGCTGAGGTTACTTCTGACCCAAGTAAGCAAGGTTGCTTAGGGCCACCCCCCCCCAAGATCCCTAAGAGATATGGGCATGAGAAGACCAAGCTGAAGGGCCCCCCTCCCCTTCTCCCACCATGCTGCTGGCTGAGCCGGCCCGCATAACCATGCTGTCTTCTGGGAAGCAGGTTAAATGGATGTCGTTGCCGCCAAGAGCATGTACTTGGCAGCAGAGTTGGTGGGGAGCAGAGCGGGAGCCAGACGGAGGAGAGAGCCCAGGCCCAGCAAGGGAAGGCGTGGCCCAGGTCCTGCCCACCAGGACAAGCCTGGGGGCCAGGCCCAGAGCTGCTGGGCCTTGTGGGGGGCGTGCTTAGCCCCCAGCTCCCATCTCTGCTGTTATGGTCCTGCAGACCGGCCCAGGAACAGAGACACTTCCTGGAGCTGACAGCGCGCCTGCCTGCTACTTCCCTGCACTGGCAGCTTGCCCAGGCGGCTCTCAGGCCAGGCTCCGGGAGTCCAGCTCTGCAGGAACAAGGGAGGGGCAGGGAGGTGCCCCCAGCAGGCGTCCTGACCCCGAGGGCTGCCAGCTCAGAGCAAGGCCCCGATGAGCAAGCCCCACACAGGCTGGGTGTCAGCCCGCCAGCAAAGAGCAGGGGCCAGTGGGCCTCCGCCACCCCCCAGCTGTGCGACCTGGGCCACGCCTTTTGTGAGTTCTGCAAACAGGGTTAAACCGTGCCCTGCTCAGAACTGGGATCCTCGGCAGCATGTAGCCTGGTGGGGGCAGACTGTGGATCTAAGCTGGCCACGTACATACTCAGCATTTGGGGGATTAGGGGCCGACCACCCAGCCTCTCCGGGGGGCAGACACCTCCTCCGTGAGACAGTGGCATTTACCCACCCACCTCAGGAGGTTGTGATGACCACATCTGGTTCTAATTACATATGCTTACTATAAATAGCAATTCTAGAAAGAGCACTGGCCTTGGAGTCAGAAACTGCATGTCTATACCCCAGCTTGGCCGCATCCTTGCTGTGTGTCCTCTGGGGAGTCTCCCGAGCCTCCGTCCTCCATCTGTAAAGTGAGGATCAAAAGTGACAGTGAGCAGCAGAGAACATCCTGGAAGTGAAAGGCTGTCAGCAGCACACGGCCCCGTCTCCTCCGTCAGGTCCTGAAGGAAGGGCTGGAGGAAATCGCTAACTTGTGAGTGTGGAGCTGGCTAGTAGCTCCCTGGCCACTTAATAGAATCACCTGAGGAACAGAAGGAAAACAAAGATCCCAGGGCCTGGGTCCCTCCCAACACCCAGCAATTCAGATCCAACTGGTCTTGGCATGGGAGGTGGCAGTGACATTTTTTAAACGTTAAGTGATTCTTCTGGGTGACCAGAGTCGGGAAGTGGTGCAGCAGCTTTACTTAGAACTCAACTGGGACACAGCCCACATTTTTGCTTGTTGTTGTTGTTTGGCTCTGGCTTGCAGGATCTTAATTCCCTAACCAGGGATCAAACCTGTGCCCCCTTAGAGGAAGCACAGAGTCCTCACCACTGGATGGGCCAGGAAAAGTCCCAGAGCTCACGTTTCTAGCACCCTCCCCAGTCTCTGTTTAGAGAGAGAAACCCCGTGCTGCTCCAGTACCCTCCAACGAACTTCCTGGCCGGAGGCGAACTTCCGTCCCCGGCCCACTTGGCAGAAAGAAAATCAGAGACTTTCAGCCTCCTGATAGGCCCAAGGCCATCACGCAAATGAGTTACAAGCCCTCCCCCTTTCGGAAGCCCCACTCCTGCTAACTGGGTGAAGGGTATACAGGTGGCGCTAGTGGTAAAGAACCCACCTGCCAACGCAGGAGACCTTAGAGATGTGAGTTCAATGCCTGGGTCAAGAAGATCCCCTGGAGGAGGAAATGGCAACACACTCCAGTGTTCTTGCCCGGAGAATCCCATAGACAAGAGGGGCTTGGTGGGCTACGGTCCATAAGGTCACAAAGAGTCAGAGTCACTACTGAAGCAACTTTGCACGTGTGCTCGTACATGCAAAGAGGGAAAAAAACCCTGGAAGAATCTATACCCAACATGATCTCTAGGTATGGGCACCTATAAGCCTCTCTCATCCTTCTGCATTTTTGAAATGTTCTACACTTGGAAAGCAGTTCTTATATGACTGAGGGAAAACCAGTAATGTTTTACTTCGTATGTATTGTCTTTTTTAAAAATTGATTTTTTTTTTCAGATGTTCTGGGATAAAGAATGAGAAAAACACTCTGGAGCGGGAGGGAGGATGGGATGTGTTCTGTGGCCCCGTGTCCACCTACAATGTGAGAACTGCATTTGAGAGCCTCGCCCACCTCTAGAAAAGAAGTAATAAACATCACCACCACCGCACCCCCCACCCCCCCCACCCCCCGGCTCCTGCCCATGTTAACCTTTACCTTGGAGCCAGCCGTCCCTTCCCCTGGACAGAAGAATGTTGAAGCTCCTTAAAAACTGTCTCTGGGGCTGGGGTGGAGACACAGCTGGGATCACAGGTCCTGAGGAGGAGGGGACGGCTTGGGGGCTGGCCAGGAGGAAGGCGGGTCCTGGAGGTAAGGGTCCCATGCATGGCCATCTTCTCAGGTGACAGGAGCTTGCCAGTCAGCACCTGGGGAGGGAGCCTGAGCAATACCTTAAGGATGAACTTCCTCTGCTGACCTGGGAGACCAGTGAGACCCCCGGGGGGTACCCTGGGAGCAGGCTCAGCCCTGCTTACTGCCTGGCCACCCCCCCAGCCTCAGCCAGAGCGGACGATTGTGTAGCTGTGACATTTAGTGACATCCTTGTTGAATGGTGTTCTTGTGTTCAGGAAGACATGTCACCAACTTTTATTTCTGCTTGGCCATCCCCCAGGAACCCCAGTTCTACCCAAAACATCCAAAATAACTGGTTGAGGCACCTGCTGGGCAAGGTGGAGACCCAGGAAGTGAGATGGGGTAGAGACCACCTGCCCAAGAGAAAGCAGGCTCTAGGGTCAACAGCTGCAGGGAAGACCTCGGTCCACTGCAGGCAGATTTGCAAAATGGCCAGCTCAGAGGTCTCAAGGTGCACGCTGAAGCTCCTCCTGTTTTAAAACACAGTGCCCCTAAATGGGGCTTCCCAGGTGGTTCAGTGGTAAAGAATCTGCCTGCCAATGTGGGAGACGCAGGCTCAATCCCTGGGTTGGGAAGATGCCCTGGAGAAGGAAATGGAAACCCACTCCAGTATTCCTGCCTGGAAAGCTCCCTAGACAGAGGAACCAGGCAGGCCACTGTCCGTGGGGTCATCAAGAGTAGGACATGACCTAGCCCTGGGTACACCTGCCCTTGAAGCCCCCCTTCCTTAGGTTGTAATGTGCAGCTGGGTTCTAGGGACCCCTCACTGTGCACAAACCAGGGAGACCTTGCATTCTCCTGGGCTCCCATCTGTGCGTGAGTGTCCCGATGCCCAGCCTACCCCATCCTCCACCAAAAAAGATATTATAAAAGTACATGCCAATCAATGCACCAACCAACAAAACATTAAGTCATCAGCAAATCCCCCTACAGTCTCATTTCAGGACGACGCGGGAGGACACGCCAGCTGAACCCCAGGTAATTCTCCCCATCCCAGAGGGGCCAGGTGGGCAAGGGCTGGGCTGGGGCCGCCGCCTGATGCACACTGCAAGAACAATAAGGATTTTTAGGGGCATTATGACTGAGTCAGAAAACACAGCTGCCCCTGAAAGTCCCTCATTTTTCTTGCTGTCCTCGAGCACTCTCCAGGTGAGGAAGGAGTCAGCCAGCTGACCCAGGTGAACCAAGGTAGAAACGGTGACCCCTCCCCGACACTGGCCCACCCCTCCAGCCCACAGGAAGCTCTGTGGCAGGTGGGGTGGCTGCAGGGTCTCCATGGTGGCACAATTCTCAGCCTGGACGGCGGCTGGCTTCACTGCCCCACACCCCAGGCGGTCCCAGGAGAGACCCGCCCTTGGTCCACCCAGAGCCAACTTGGAACCCAGCGTCTTCTGTCCACAAGGAGCCACAGGCTAGAATCCTGGCAGAACCCCAAGTGGATGAGGAGGTCCCGAGAATTAGGCAAAGGCAGAAGACCCGAGGGAAGGGTCACCTGGCCTCTGTCAGAGCAGCCGAGGCTCAGCTCCCAGCATTAGGGCCCCAGACTAGGAAGACTCCAGCTGGCCACTCCCATAGACCCCAGACCTTTGGCATCCTCCGAACGCCACCGGTCACTGGTAACCCATCCCCTGAAGCTAGGCCATCCCACCCAGGGCTGGGCTCAGCTGGCCGCTGGGAGCCTGCCCTACCCAGCCGGGCACTGCACCCACTCCTCAGGGGCCCCCAGTCACCGGCCCCCCTGTGGGTGCAGCAGGACATGCAATTTTTCAGAATAAGGTGGACCCTGCTGTAAAGTACGTCCCACAGGAAACAGACCAGGCTCCACTAGCTGCTTACTTGCTGTGTGATGGCGTCTAAGTTGCTTAGATTCTGTGTGCCTCGGCTTGCACGTGGGTAAATAGAACGAATGGCCTCTTTTGCAGGGTGATGTGAGGACTGAAGGAAGGAAAGCATACAAAGGTTTGGGCTGGCTCCCAACACAATGTCTTCCCTTATCCAAGCAGCTTCCCCCTTGCCCTCAGACACTAAGAGGTGGGCCAGGCTCCCTGGGAGTCTCCGAGGACTCAGGTGATGGAGAATTCCTCCCTCTCGGAGGGGCAGGTGGAGATGGGGTGTTGGGGCACAGGTCTCGGTGCTCCGTCAGCTCTAACGCTGCACCGTCTTCCCACACCCCAGGGTCTGGCCTTGTTCAGACGGAGAACACCTGTGCCAAATCCCAGCTGCCTCTCAAAGCTACATTATAGCAGCTGTTACCTCGCTACAACTTTCAGCCCTAACCAAGATCATCATGCATATACTCCACCAGCAAAAGCCAAACTGTCGGGCTTCACTGGTGGCTCAGTGAAAAAGAATCCACCTGCCGAGGACACAGGTTCAATCCCTGATCCAGGAAGATCCCACATGCTGCAGAGCAACTAAGCCCATGTACCCCAACCATCAAGCGTACGCTTTAAAGCCCAGGAACCGCAACTGATGAGCCCACGCGCTGCTACTACTGAACCCCTGCCCCCCCAGAGCCCAAGCTCCGTGTCAAGAGAAGCCTCCACGATGAGAAACCCAAGTGCCAGCACTGGAGCAGCCCCGCCTGCTGCAACTACAGAAGCGCCTGCGTGGCAGTGAAGACCCAGCACCACCAAAGATAAATTTTAAACGAAAAAAAATCTTTTTTAAAGCCAAACTATCTCTACACTCTAGGATCCAAAGCTGCATCACTCAGCAACATGACCACATCCGAAGAAGCCCCCGCCTTTGGTCTGCACAGCCTTGGCCTGAGGGGGTCCTGCGGTCTGGGTGCTACGGCCCCCGGTGCAGAAGAACAGATGAGGAGGACGAAGAGGGTCAGCTCGCCGCTGAGCAACCAAGAACCTCAGCCAAGCTTCTAAACCCTTCTGTGTTCCAAGATCAGGGTAATGAGAGACCGCCCTGGTGGTCTGGTGGCTAAGACTCTGTGCTCCTAATGCAGGGGGCCTGGGTTCGATCCCTGGTCAGGGAACTAGATCCTGCGCACTGCAACAAAAGATCTCATGTGCCACACCTAAGACTTGGTGCAGCCAAATAAATACTTAAAAAAAAAAAACAGTGTAACTACCTGTGTCATGGTGTTGCTAAAAGGATTAAATGAGTCAATGCCTATAAAGGCTTAGAGCTGTGCCCAGCATCGAGATTTCCAGAGTCAGCAATCACTACCATGCCTGCTTTGTGCTTCAAGGCTCAGCTCACTTTTCCTAACCCCAGCCCCCCCGCCCCCCAGTTAGAGCCCCATCTTCTTTCTCGGTGCTCCCCCTGACTCCACACTCATCACACGGCTTTGCCTATTGCCCCACCCCCGCCCCTCCCAGCACCGACCTGGAACCACCCACATCACAATCCCTTGCACTTATTAACAGTGCTGACTCTGGAGCCCCGGAGGTCCACCACGGGGCCCTGGAGTCTGCACTGCTAACAGTCTCCTGCTGTGGTTCACAGGGTCACGCAAGTCTGAGAAGCACCGCTCTGGGCCCTCTTACCACCACAATACAGGCAGTGCCTGGCGCAGGTGCTCAATAACAAGGTGAGGTTGGGGGATGGGGGTGCCCTGGACAGTGGCCAGAGGACCCCCCACACCGTGCTTGTGTGTGACGGGGACCTCCCTGGGCTTGGCTCTGACATCACCAAACACAACAGCCCCCAGTCTGGTTCCCCTCAGCCCTCCCACTGAGTTGAACTCTCGCTGCTGATTGGGGTCGGGCGGCAGGGGTCGGGGGGCGCTGCACCCTTCTGCTGGGGGCTGAAAAGTCATCAAGGCTTCCGAGGGAGCTGCCAAGCACCGGGGCTCCACCCCAAAATTGCCAGCAACTCACAAAACCATGATGGAAGGAAAAGAAAAGGCCAAGCAGAGGTACCAGCCCTTCTTTGCAGCTTGAGAAAGTCCCACCCGGACTAGGGAAGGAGGTGGTGGAGCAGAGGTAGCAGAATGCCCTGGAAGGAGCTGCTGGGCACGGCCCGGGCCCGTGGCAGGGCTGGCTGAGTGGGGTGGGCCTGGAGGAGCTGGGCACAGGGGCGCTCAGCTTAGGGGCGTGGGCTCTGTAAGGTGCTGCCCTCCTTCTAGCCACCCAGCCCCCTGCCCCCAGGTCAGCCTGCCGTGGGGGTGAGAGTCAGCCGTCTTGGCTGGATTTGGGCCTCCGCTGAGATGGAAAGCCTTCTTGGACTCGCTGACGCATCCACCCTTGCTGGCCACTCTGGAGCTGGGATGAACACAGCCAGGAGACCCGAGCTCCTGGGTTTACGTTCACTCATCTCTCTGCCAGAAATTCTCTGGCTGAGAACACCACCTAAACACTCACTCTCACCCCCTCAGATTCCCCCCCCATGCCCCACGAGTGCCAGCCCTGCCTGGCCTGATGCTGATAGCCTCTGTACCCTGAGGTTAGCTCAGTCCCCGAAACACTCATCGGTGGGTGGAGGTGCAAGTGCCCCTTGGCAAGGCTGGACCGGAGCCCAAATGCATTCATCCACATGAACACCCACTCCCTTGAACCAGGCAGGTCCAGGGAGCGCGACGCGACACCTCCCTTTTGGCCATGTTTCCAGAGCATGGGAGAGGGAGACACCAGGGGGTGGGCACTGACTGTATCTCTTTACTGCAGACGGCACTGGGGCAGGGAAACAAACTGACCAGGCCTGTAGACGGCAGGGCTAACAGATGGGGAACCGTCTAGGCTTAGGGTGTGTTTATCCTCCTCATAGGAATCAGCCAACTGTGGACCCCCAGGCCAGACCCACTACCACATTCACCGTTTTATCAGAACACAGGTACTCATTCATTTACATGGTGATGGCTCAAGTGGTAAAGAATCCACCTGCAATGCAGGAGACACAGGAGACGTGGGTTCGATCCCTGGGTCGGGAAGATCCCCTGGAGGAGGAAATGGCAACCCACTCTAGTATTCTTGCCTACAAAATCCTGGGGACAGAGGAGCCTGGCGGGCTATGGTCCATGGAGCCGCAGAGTCAGACATGACTGAGCACACACACACAAATATACCACGGGGAGGATTCACCATAATGTATCTTACTGTTTTCTTTATGTTGTTTCTAAACTTCCACTGTTATAAATAATAAGCATAGCAAATATCTTTTTTTGTATAAAGCATCTTCAGCACTTTGTATCATGGATTCTAGGAAATGGAAGAGAAGAGTTGCAACAGAGGCCCCATGGCCCCCAGAGCCTAAAATATTTACTATTTGGCTTTCCCAAACAAAGCTGGCCGATGCTTACTGCTGACCAGCATTCACTCCGCACCTAGGAGGCTCCAGGCACCCGGCTGGGTAGCGAGGATGTAACAGTGAGCAAAACCTGGTGAGCCTGTGTGGAGTTCAAGGTCTGGGGGGAGAGGGCTTCTGCAGGCCTCGGGTCCAGCCGCCTTTGTCAGGCGCATGCTCCTACTCCAGGACTGCATCTTCTTACCCCAAACCTTCTGGCCCGACATGCTGCAGGAGTTTTCAGGTCTTAGAAAGATAACATGGTGCTCAGGCCACATACTGCGCAACACACCAGCAGAGCAGCACCCCCCGCCCCCCTGAAATCACACGAAGGAACGTCTCTGCAGGGAAAGCCATGAAGATTCATGCTCCCCGGGAGAAATCTAGACTCAAGTCAGTTTGGGCCAAGAATTGCCATGAAATTCGTTATAAAAACAACTTCTGGTTTTCAGAGTTTAGAATTTTGGATAAAGGACTTGGGGCTTGCCCCAGGCACTGTTACCAAATGGGAACTGAGTCCATTCCTTGGTCGTGGTTGGAGGTGCCCACCCCTGCAGGCTGCCCCCCCTCCTTGCCAAGCCTCCTGGCACAGGAAGCACACACAAGGCACAAACTGAATGAATGCAGATCATCACAAATTTTTTTTGGTCCAAAGGACAGCTACCAACGTTACTGCTGAAAAATGTACAAAAGTAGCATTTAAACCCCACCTTCATCTGCCTGCTGCACTGTCAGAAGCAGAGAGAAGCCATCATAAGTGAGAAATGTTTCCAACTCTACTCGGGACAAGGAAAATAAAACTGTTTTCTGGTCACTGTTGCTGCCTAACAGCAGGCAAATTAGGTATTCTGTGGGGAGCAGGTGAGTAGGTGGTAGCCAAAACTGAAAACCCATGATCTTTCCCCTCATGTATGTCCTTGTGGCCAAAGTTTCATTGGAAATCTAAAATAATTTATTTCATCACAAATTCCTAACAGTTAATTAGAAAAATGTACTAATTGGATACAGATGAGACTGCTGGCTAGCATCACCAATTTACTGGACATGAATTTGAGCAAACTCTGGGAGATAGTGGAGGACAGAGGAGCCTGGCATGCTGTAGTCCATAGGGTCACAAAGAGTAGGACATGACTTAGCGACTAAATAACAACTACTAATTGGATAATCTGGTTTCATAAGTTCTAATTATACTCCTGTGTGGGGGGTGTGGAATCAAAAAACGTATATATGTAAAATAATAGCACTTTCCCCCAAAATGTAAAGTATCTAAAGTTTAAGACTGAATGAAAAAAATTGCACACAGCTCAAATCCTGACAATGAAAGAATATTTTAGTATCTATAAATAGATAATGCAGTTCCTCTGCATTAAAGGGTGCTATCTGAAAAGAGATTTCGGCGACAATTCCCATCAGATGTCCTAGAATTAAATGGATATCCCCCTTTTTAAAGCAACGCGGTTTTAATGAAAGTTTCCTACCCTATTTCTTAATAAGAGCACGCCCACGAATGACTCGCAGAAATTTCCTCATCGCCTGAGATTTCTAAACCAACCGCAAATTGGGAAAGAGGTGCTGGACACCCCTGGTGATCTGTACCAACACCACGGGCAGGTTTCTAGGACGGGTTTTACTCCAGGAGTGAGGAGCCGGCGTTCTTAGCCTGCCAGACACAAGGCCTGGGGGAAGAAGGTCAGAGGGGATCGTGGCCGGCTCTCAGCAGGTGAGAGCCCGGTAGGCAAGTATCCGGAAGGTGGCGGTGATCAGGGGGCGGGCCGAGCAAACCCTTCCAACCAACCGAGAGCCGCCTCGCCCTCCAGGGCTATATTTAGTCAGGGCTGGCGGCCCCAGCAGGGCGGGGCCTGGGGGAGGCCCAGGCCGGCCACCTGCACAAACCCCGGCGCCGGCCGCCCTGCCGGCGTCTCGGTGGGGACGTGCTGGGGCACCACGACTGCTGCTGCCGAGGCACCGGCACCCTCGCTGACATTTCCGCCACCCTCTGCCGGGCACGTGCCACCCATCTGACTGACAGATCTGGCCCACGACAAGGGAGGGGGCGTGCGGGGCCGCGGCCGGCAGGGACACTGGCCAGGAGAGTTAGTTTCACTTTCTAGTTTTCTTCCCCGGGTCGCCTCTCACCCAGACGGCAGAAAACGTCCTTCAAATGCCAAGAGAGAGAG